ACTCGTGCTTCGGGCAGATTTATACGGGGTACGGCCGGTAAACGACGCTCGGTGAGAACTGTCTCGTGAGTTCGATCCTCCGTCATGGTCGGACTGGCCGCGACTTAACCGAAATCGCGATACACGCCGCACCGTGTCTCCAGTCCCCCGAAAACCGTCTCGCCTTTTCATCGATGTTCGGCTACGTAACGACGTCGCTTAACGCTGTCATCCGGAATCGTCGCAGGCACGCGAGCGAGCGCTCGGTTCACCCGGTTCGATACCGATAAATCACCGTGATGCCTCGAATCCCCGCAATTGTATTATTTATGAAACTATCAATAGGGTAATTTATTCGCGGGAGCCGGCCGCGCGATTCTTCAACAGCGGTCCCTGGAGCAGGATTTATCGCCGGCCGGGCGAAAAATGCTGCGCTTTTTAATCCGGACTCGGTGTCCGGCGCGGTCGAGTCGCGCGAACCTACAATGTTCCCCGTGATTTATCAATCGGCTCGCGGAGGATTAACAGTCGCCGCGGAACCGGTAATAGTCGATCGATCGATATTAAAAAACGAGGAACGCGTCGGGCAACACCGCGTGTCCGCTAAATTAATGGATCCCCGGTGTACCGCGAGGGGCTCTCGTTAATCGATTAAAACCGTTCCTTAAAGGAACGCTCGCGGCGCCGATTAATCCCCCTTAACCCCGTGAGTGTACCTCGCGTCTGTTAGACGCAACCTGATTTCCCGTTAAGACCTACCCGCCTATCCGCGTCTCGCTCGCCGGCTCGGCCAGCCGGTTTCCATTAAAACCGGGCAAAAGGCCGCTTTGTTGGCGTTTTCGTAACTCAAGCCACTCGGTAGATCGTTAAGGCGAGTCGCGCGACCGCCACGCAATGATTTATCAATAGCTTTGCGCAGGATTTACAGGCCGGACAGGACCGGTAATGGAAGCCAATCGGCCGAGCCTTTTAATCCTCTTACATCGTTTTACGTCGCTTCTGCGGAAGTAGCGTTGCCGATCGTGTCCACCCGATGCTAACGACGCGCAGCGCGATCCTCTTCCTCGCAATTTTCACTCTCTCTCCCGTCCTTTGCTCGATTAGACCCGATGTAAATCTTCGTCCAGTCTGGTCTATCCTCGAGCCGAGCTGAATTCTCCACTCGTCGTCTTGTCACTCGTTGCGCCGATCTTTTTCAACCTCGCTGACTTATCCCTTGGCTGCCCTATTTCATCGTCGCGACGCTTCTTCCCGACGTCCCTTTGCTCTGCTCTGGGCAATTTCTTTCATCTTTCTTCCATTTCTTTAATTCGCAATTGCTATCGTAAATTATTCTTCGCGAAGAACGCGTGGGCTCGGTACCGGTTGGTCAAAAATCTAGAGGGCAGACTAGCCTGCTCGGGTCTAATTGTCCCGCTAATGGCGGCGGTTTTCGCGGCCACGCGGCGTGGCGTAGGGGTTGTTACGTCCCGGCACGCGACATACGTTCAACCACGTACGACTCGATGATCCACCCAGCGTACGCGTTTCTTTCTAAAGTCACGAGAACCGAAGGCGCATCACCTTCCTCTTTCCTTCGTCTCTCTCTCGTGCAGCGTTTCGTGACCGCCCGGCATTAATTATGTGTCGTGCCCTTTAATACGAATCTCGGCTTTATGAGCGACGCGCAGGAACAGGGGAGAAAAAATAAGAAATAAAAGGAAAAAAAGAAAAAGAATATCGAGAAGAGGAGGCGAAGACAAAAGGACGTTCCCGAGGACGGAATTATTTTTTCGCGTCTGGCCACCGGACCATGGAATCCTCTTCTCCCTCTTCGTCTCTATTTCTCTGCGTGTCTTCTATTTCGTCGGAACGATATTTATTCGGCGTTCTCTGACGAGGGTCCAGCTGTTTTCGTCCATCCATGATTTCTGTGAAACGACGAGAGTTTGATTGCGGTCCGGTTGACTGATTGGACGGTCCCGGGCTCGGACGTCGAGTCACGCTTGCGAAAAATATTCGCGAATCTAGCTCCTCCACGCACGATTCGCCCTGGATGCTGTAACGATCTCTCCCGTCCCTTTTTTTTCCCCACGCTGCATCCCTTGTTTTTTCATCGTGAAAAAACCAGTCGCTAGCGTTGGAAACGAAAGAGGAACCGGACGATGGATGGAATAAAAGGACGAGCGAGAACGGACCAAGGAGAAAGGGAGCGTTCCGTGGTACAAAAAGCGAGGGAAAATCCATCGATCACGCGAGGCGATGCAAAGACACCGGGAGAGATGTACGCGTCGTCCCTCTATCTCCCGAGGATCTCTCATCCGGGGCCGTGTCATCTCAATCGCCCGACCGAAAAATTCCGGCGCGTTGGTGCGCTGTTTCGGCTAATAAAATCATCTGCATCCGGGCCAGAAATTATCTCACGAATTCATCTGCTTATCGAGCAATAAAATGGCCCCGGCGTCCACCTCTGCCGATGCTATCTCTCCTCTCCACCTTTCTCTCCTGGTCCCTTCCTCGTCTCGCGTAGGTGCCTAGACGCATCGTGGCGCCATGCCAGCCCGAATCCGCTCCTCTACGAGCACACGCGTACGTCTCTCGTATGCATACGCGTCCTCCTCTCCTCTCCTCTCCTCTCCATCTTGCTCGATTTTTTATTCCGCCCGTTCGACGCGTTACAGGGAAGAGAGACGCTGTGCGTCGTACCGTTCGCCATACCGTTTTACCCTGCGTTCGGGGGCCATAGTTTAATAAGGGCCCTTCTTTTCCCTCTCTCCCCGTGATATTTATTATCCCGCGAGGAAATTGTTTCTACAATCTCGCCTAGAAATCTCGGCGCCTCGGTTCGCGACGAGGTGTTTGGTAGCGTTTGTACTGGTCGACCGTGAAGCACCGTACCGATTTCGACGACGGCGAAAAATTCCGAGCCAGGATCGCCGCAAGATGGATCGCGAGGATCGAATAAAATGACCCGTTTCGATCGTTCCGAGTGTGGATCGAAGCCACGAGGGTTAGAGATCGTTAGACGAACAGCGACACAGAAGAAACTCGCGTGTGCTGGCAACGCGGACGGGGCAGTAAAATTGTCTCGTAAAGGCAGGTATAGGCCGTGCAATAAAAGAAACGTTAATTTCCTCGCGTTAAAGTTATTATTTATTGATACGACGTAATCTCGGGGCCGAGATCAAGGGAGATGCTTAGTCGGCCGATATTCACCCGAAACTGCGAGCCAGTCGGATTCCTCGTCGCATTTTATTATCTCGATCGTTCATAAATTTCGTTACAATACAAGTATAAAGTATCCACCGCCTCCGCGATACGAAAAAGGTCGTCCCGGGTCCAGGAGGTTCCTCGCGTGGAGCATTGTCATCGTTCGGGCAACTTTTCAATAATCAATTATACGACGTTAAAATCGTATATTTATGAATTTCTCTCCCTCCCCGGGCCGATAACAAAGAACAGGAGGGGGGGGATAGGGGAGGTGGAGAAGAAGAAAAGAGAGGAAGAGAAAAAATCGAATGCAAAGGACCGGTGTACATTAACGTCCCGATAAAGAGCGGATATCCCGACTTATTTTTATCATTCCATAAATACTCGAAGCGAGCAGGTGTAGATGATTCATGTACCGGCGAATAAACCAGACAATCATCTAATATATCGCATCATCAATATATTTCAGATCTTTGCAAAACAAATGTTATAATATGATGCAAGTATGGTGGATGATCAAGAGCCGCGTCTTCCTCCGCCAAACCTAAGCATATACACAACGAAAAAGGGAAATAATAATTATTACAATAATATTAGAATCGCTTCGTGTCGCGCCGTAGGTCTCTCGTATCTCTCTCTGTATTTACAGGTTATCACACATAATAGAAATCATAGTAGTACAATATCTTACAAGTGGAACATCGGTCGCCCCCCCCCCCCCCCCCCCCCCCCCCCCCCCCCCCCCCCATTCCATTTCTCTCTCTCTCTCTCTCTCTCTCTTTCTCTTTCTCTCTCTTTTTTTCTCTTTTTCCTTTTTCGATTTTCTGACCCGCGCATCGGGCACGCAGCCCGGCCCTGGAACCGGCCGTTTCGCTTCACTATCAACGTTTTAATTAGATCCAAGTCCACGAGAAGCGCGTGTGATTGGTCGTGCCCGAGGAACAATTAAGCCGGAACTCGGCGAGTCCGTTCTTTCGCTTGGCGATTGATAAATCGAGGCACGAACGTGGCTAGAATTACGCGAACCGGCGCCGTTGGAAATTGCTTCGTCTAATTCGTGACGCCGTGATTGCCCCGACACGATTTTTCGTGTCCGAGAAGAACGCGTGACATCCCGCTTCTTCGCCCTTTGTTCCACGCCAATCGCTACAGCGTAGTCCACGGCACTCGAGATTCAGCGGATTAATCCGTATTTACAATCGTCGCACCTCGGCATCTAGGTAGAGGTAACTCTCTGTTTGGTTCATCGCAGCCCGAATTGCTCGACGATCGCATCATACACGGTTACGTTCGCGATCGAAATGGAGATCGAGATCGCTAAGGCTGACGCGCCGGTTAATACGATAATCCATATTCCCCCGTCTATCGGTACGACGCGAAGATCGTCGCGCGAAATAAATACTAACGACACTCTATATTTCGAAAGAGTCTGTCACGTTCTAGCTTTGGTCGCGAGTGTAGCTTCACCTATCTCAGCTTCGTCCCCCTGTCCCGAGACGAGCTTACTTCCGTAACCTAATCGAAAGACCAAACCCTCCGCGAGTTCTAACATAGTCCCCCGAGACACTCTTCTTTCCTCCCGGTTCGGATGCACTCTTGGTCTTCGTCTTCTCTTCGTCAAGTTCCATCGCATCCGTGGTTCCACTTCTTCCGAAACGGATCGGCAATTGCTGATTAGGACTTGGCAGTCCGTGAAACGCGTGAGCGGAGAAAAATGGAACACGAGCGATCCAACTCTACTACGCGGTGCAACATAGACTAACGCGTATCCTCGTGGACACGGTGTCGATCTCGTCCTCGCAACTGGTCCTCCGGTCCGTTGCCGGCAGAAACTAGTAGGCAGTCGCTTGGTGATGCATCAACGGGTTGAAGTGGTGCGGGCCAAGGTGATGGGGCGGCGGAGGTCCCGGCAACGGGCTGTGCTGAGGACCCACCGTTGGCGGCTGACAGACGTACCACTCCGTCAACTCTGGGCCTCTGGTCGAAGGATGACTCGACGGTGGGTTGGTCGTGGTCGTTGTCGGGACGACCGGAGGCGGCTGAGGAGACTCGGTGTGCCCGGTCACGGACAAGCTACCCCCGCTGCTGCTGCTCTCTTCACCCTCGCTCTCGTAGCCCCCTCCTATCTTGCCCTCGCCCAGGGTCATGCCGTGCACCTGGAAGCAAGAGGCGGAGCTTAACACGTTAGATGCTCGCGGGAAATTTCTGCTAGTAGACTCGCTACTAGTTGCCCTTCCCGAGGGGTAGAAACACACGCGGTGGTTGCGTGTGTACGTACACGCGCGCGTACAGGAAGAAGGGAGAAAGGGTGAGCTCTCGGGGGCTGGGGAAGGGAACGGTGAGTATGATCGATCAGAGTTATCAGAGATTCCTGCGTGGTCTTAACGCGCGTTTCCACGAGTCGGTAGAATCCACGGCGCGAGGCTGGTGCGCGCGTAACCCGAAAAGAAAGCGCGGATAGTGGTACTTGATCGTGGTAAGTTATCGCTTCGGAGATCAAGAGGATACGAGGAGCAAAAGGAGCACGCGTTGGCTAAACCGAAGAAACCGGGATCAGGGAGACGGGGATCAAGGCTCCGGGGTATTCCCATCTCTCTTTCTCTCCTCTCCTTCTGGTCCTTCGTTCATAATTCAGTGAGCAAATCTCGACGACTGCCTTCCGCGAATCACGGCCGGCGAAAAGCGTGGAGAAGCGAAAGGCGCTCGCTCCTATCCGACGAACCTATCGCGCACGTATCTCGGGAGTTGCCTTTTGGACGGTTCTGCTTCTCTTTCCGTCTTCTCTGTGTGTGCCACAGATAATTTCCTATTAAGATTCCGTAGCCGTTCGTGCATGAACCTTTGCGCCCGGATACCCGGCAGCCTCTCTTCCCACAGCCGCTTTTTGCCCATTCCGAAGTGTCTACTAGCGTTTCCTAGCGTGAAACGAAATGGCAAACACGATGGGGCCCTTTTTTCATACACCTCGATACGTCTGCGTGGACGCATGCGAGGTGATACACGGGGCAGCGATTCGAGACTGGGAAGAGAAAATACGAGCGATCGCGACAGGAAGGCAATTAGCATCGTTTAATATGCAAATTTAATCTTCTTTCGCGAAACCACGACCGTTATCGCCTTTCTTCTTCCTTCTTTTCTCTCTCTTCTTTCAAGCAAAACTGTCCTTCTTCCAGGCAAATTTCCAACGATTAATCGGCGCCACGCGAACAGTACTCCCCGAGAGTGGTTTATTTTTCGGGGGAGAAAATTAGCAGTCCAAGATGAGAGGAGGCTTTCGTCTGGCTGAATCAAGGGAAAGAATGCGAGGGAGAGTAATGGACTCCGGGTTGTAACGGAGGTCGAACGTCTCACGATTGCACACACGTACCTTCATATGCTTGCGCAACGAGCTAGGATGGGTATAGGACTTGTCGCAGCCGGAAACTCGACAATTGTACGGCTTGTCGGACGTGTGGACGTGACTGTGCTTCTTGCGGTCGCTGCTGTTCGCGAACCGCCTCTCGCAGCCTGAGTACTCGCACTTGAACGGTTTCTCGCCTGGAAAAAGAAGACGGGAATTAATGACTTTGTAATTGAGCCGGGTGCACTCTGTTCGCGCGTGTCTGTACACGGTAATTGAAAGTCGAATCGAGGGAAAACGAAGAGATTTCAGTTGCTTCCCTTCAGTGCCCCTCGGGGGCCCGGGAATTAGAATATAATTCGAGGAAAAATATGCCGAGGGAAAATGCAAATGCCATCTATCGCCGAGCGCCATCTTCAGAGGCTAGGAGGGAAAAGTAGTTACATTTCCAACCGGAACCGCCTAACTATTCGCAATTACGATTATCGCGGAAGGGACCAAGCGGGATCAGCGACGAGCAAGACGGGGGTGGCGGAACACGGAAACGGGGAACAGGAAAAATATTTTCTCCGGGGCAAGGAGGAAAAGCTGTCGGGCTCTCGCAGAAGCTACAATAGGCGGCTGGAACGCGATTACATCGTATCGCGGAGCGTTTCATCATGATTTCGTGGATATCTTGATGAGCAACGGTGGAACATTCCCTCCGCCGGTGGCTGCTCTTCGCCCGGGGGCGAAGAGAGGCGCAGTGATATCGAGAGATAAGCTCCCCTGCACACGAATGGCCGCCGTCGTCGGGGCGCAACGAGACCGTGTGGCGTGACTCTTATTTATTTCCACCGGAAGTTGACTGGAATATATTTTACCGTCGGCTCGCAACCCCCCACCGCCCCCGGCACGCCGTAGACTCCCTTTTTCCGGGACTTCCTCCTGGCGCTCTCTCCGAGAAGTGCGGAGACGCGAGAACAGGAAGCGCAAACTTGGCGGATTTTTTATGGGGAAAATGGTGGCCAACTTTGCCCTCCCTCGCTCAGGGGAAACTGCGAAAAAAGGGAGCGCGTCTCGAATTCGAGATCTCTCCGTGCCAACGGTATACAGACGAATATACTCGTTCGCGCGTGTATCGGATTTGAACAACAATGTACGCGAGGTAGTGCTAAAATTTTGGATAACCATAATCGGCGATGATTACTAACCGATGGCAACGATGCTCTCTCATTTCCACCCTCTTCTCCTAAAACAACGATTAAATATTTCAACACGTTGACGACTATCCTTTTCACCCTTTGCACTCGACGATTTTTTGGCTACAGAAGAGTAGAGTTCAAAGATTTTCTGCTATAAAGCTGACGATACTTTCTTAAAGTAGTAAAATAAGAAATCGTGTAATTAATTAACACTGAGATAATTCGATTTCGATACCTTGCACACTGTTGCATTAGCTTACATTTGACATATCAATGAACATCGATCTTCGAAAGTTTATCAAATGGAGACCGGACATATAACACGAACACGTATTAACAAACGGGATAATATACCAATAATTTTCAGTAAAGCAAAACACGATAAAGTACATAGGCATAGAAAAACGGAAATTTCCGTGACCGGTTGTCAACGTTCGAGCGACTAAACACGAAGATTTCCGCGATCGGTCGTCAACGTGTTTAACGTATGTGGATATGCACGAAAAGATTTCACGCTTTTGTAAGAAAGTACGCGAAAGTTCCCGTCCTACATCGAGCGCTCGTTTCCACCTCGGCTTGTCGAATAATTCACGTGCTCGTTGGCCGATGGTAAATCGTGAAAATGATTTTTCCACGAGCGGTATCGCGAGGAAAGTCCGTGGACGTCGGCGCGAGTAGGTACAAAGAAGCGTGGTGGGTTTTCGCGTACGCGCGAGCCGGCGTCGTTATTCATCTCACGTGTGAAAAGCGCGATAACATTGCCATGTTACAGTGACGTATCGCCGCGACACAGATTATATTTAAATCGCTCGGACGTGTAGTGCGGGTACTTATGGCAGCGGCGTCATAAGAAGGCGTCTTAAATATTTATGAAGCTGGAAAGATAGCGGTCCGCTCGGCCTGGAGCGCGCGCGCGCGCTCGGTGTCGCCGCCTTATCTGACGTTTCACACGACTATGCTTCAAGCTGCCCTGACTCGCCACCGTCGCGAGGATTTCAGCGTTGTTCGCAATTTGCGCGGAATATACGCTCGTGCTCCACGCCACGGACCGTATCGAGAAACTTTATTAGAGGAAATTTACTACCCTCGCGCGAGATCAGCTCGATCCGCGCGGAAAACTCGCCGTCGGGTCTCGGAAGCAATGCTCTTCGAGCTGATCTTCGAGCGAATCGTCGAGTGGGAAAAATGGCGGAACGAGAGGCTTGCACCCATCGATTCGCACCTCCTCGTGGAACCCTCTGGAGGAGCAGCGGAGAGGACGAGGGTTTCGTGCGAGGTGCCAACGACGCTCGGTTATCCCTGGGCCGCGCGTATAAAAGGAGAATGTGCCCTGCCCGGGCACCGTGGCGCGCTCCTTCCAAAAACGGGACGATTAATAACTTTTCAAATCTGTCCCCGGCAGGGTCGTGAGCCCGCCGGGGCCGCTTCGGTAGCGAGCGCGTTGGCAAATAAATAGCAGATAAATAAAAGCTCGCGTCTCTCCTACGTCGTGCATTCTGTCGTGCGCGCGCGGGGTTGCGTGTGCAGATGGCAACAATATGCCGTGAAATATTGCCCCCGTTGGTCGTGTGCGGGGTTCTGCACGCGTGTGCGTGTCTCGTCCAATGGCAACAGGCCTCGATACACGCCCGATCCCGTGGCTGCGTGTCTCTCCTTTTACCTCTGTGGACGAGCAGACACTGGCAGCGGGGAGAGCGAGGGAGAGACGAATCCCTTGCGGGGAAAGTTGGAGCAAGCTCAAAGAATTCCGCGTAAATATACGCCGCGACGATTGAATCGAATGGAATCGAATGGAATCGGAGGGAATCGAAGGGGACCGAAGGGATGATCGGAGAGGGTTGTTATCGTTGGCAGCGAGAGATCGATCAGTGGGCACGGGTAACGCGTCGACGGCTATTTTTACGGCTATTTTTACATTCGAAGAAGATTGGTAGGCCTACAGCCTAATTAGCGACCTAATTAACCCCCTAACGCAACGACGAAGAGGATCGAATCTCGCTCGGTCAATAAATACCCCTTTCACCTCGTGAGTCATATCGATACTCGTAGGTTAGAAGCAAGACAACGCGCCTATAAGACGCGCATTGGCGAAAGCGCATCGTGCGAGAGGGAAGACTAACGCTGAAGAGTAAGCGCGCACAGGGGACACGCAGACGCGTATACATAAAGTGGAGATTCATGGTGCAGCGGGTTACAGTGTACCGTGGCGCAGGCAAAAGGGAGCCCCGAAGAGCAGTTCCCGAAGGGCAGTGTAGGCACCGTGTTATGACTTTCAGAATGGGGAGGCACAATGGCCCAGATCCGCGCCGGATAAAATAGTTATTATAATCGTTTTGGCTACGGCCGGGATCGAACCGAGGCAAGAGCGAGCGAGATGCACGCGCGCGCGCGCGTGTGCGTCTTCGATTCGTATACGCGCCGACGCAACGCGGATTTCGAGATTCACCGTGCACCCACGTCCCGAATCCGGATAGCGCCCAAAGAGAGCACCGCGACGCAGAAATGACGGGATCAGAAAAATACCGATGCCAATCGTGGCCGCAACGTGGAACGTGTCGGATCCCATTCGCGCCACCGTGTTTGCAGAACTCCCTCTTCCCAATGAGGATCCTCGACGATCGGCGAGGAACGCGAGGATTCCAGATTTTTCGGACGCCTCGCGCACCCTTAAGCAAGGTTAACGATCTCTCCGATTGGTCTTCTCCGATTCCGAGGATCCCTTCGCGAAGCGTTTTCGCCGCAGAGGAGCGAAGATGCAGGCACTTTGGAAAATGCAAGCGAAGGATGAGACTCGCGTTTAAAAGAAATTCGTAGCTCGCTGGCTGGAGTATAATATACAACCCCGGAAGATTTATTGCCGATACACTTCCGTCTTGGCGAGGACTCGAGCACGAAGGAGGCTCTTTCGTCGGCACGGTTCACACCTTGAAGAGGCCGGTATAAAGGCAATCTAGAATTCCATCTTTCCTCGAATGCTTCTTAGTGGGAGACTCATTGAACTGCAGTTTTCGGAAAATCTCCGCAGTGATATATGGGCGTACACCATTGTGCCGCTTTCAAGCTCGCTCGCGTCTCTCTCCATCCTTCGGCATCGAAGGATAATGGATGATTTTTCGCGACCATTATGCTGGAAGAGGACACCAGGTCCTTGGGGCCAACGACGGACATTGTTGCGAGGCATAGCAGAAAACCAAAGCTTCCCCTCTCGTTTGGCAGGCCCTTCGACCGGCCTCTCCTTCTTCCCTCGTCCTGGCCCAACCCCTCTCTATTATAGAAAGCTTCTCGCGTGGATAATTTTCTTGTTATACGTTCGGCATTAGCCAAAACCGAGACATCGTGCCCGTGTACTCCCGATCGCTTCTTTCGGCCAGATAAGATCCCCGAAAAGTCGACGAGATCGCGCCGGGATCGATCTCGCCACGGATTAGGACCGTGAGATATTGGATCTAGATAAACCCGGGGAGACTCGCGTTTTGTAAATTGATTGCACCGGTCCTTCGTCCCTCTCCTTTCTCTCTCTTCCTTTTACTCTCTTCCTTTCTCTCCCTTTCTCTATCGTCGAATCGTTCGAAAACTCCGCCACCTTCAGTCCGCAACGTGATTTCTGTCCTCGTGGCAAAAGTCTGGAGATCGAGACGCCGAGATATAGAGAGGGAAAAGAGACTGGCGGAGATCGCCGCTCGCGTGCTTAGTTATGATCGATGAGCTTTCCGTGGCGGGATAAAAGCGGGATCGAAACGTGAACGTCGCGATTTAACGAAAGCCGCACGGAACCTTCGGACACTCGGTTCTCTCGGTTGGAATTAGAATCGGCCGGGCAGCGGAGATCGTGATCGGATAATCATCGCCTGGCCCGAAAATGGAAGTGTCTGGTACGCGCAATTCGTTGCATCACGATTCCGTTTACGTTCCGCGACCACGGCCTCGAGAACACGCTCGCAGTCGTGCGTGTTCGCCTAGACTTCTCGAGTTCATCTTCCCTCGCGTTTCCACCGAGTTCCCGGAACGACTCG